GCCCGGCCCGGCCCGCAAAAATTTGCGGGCCGGGCCGGGCCGGGCCGGGCTGCGGGACCCAACGCAGGCCTCTACCTACAAATATTAAAAGAAATGAATGAATCAGCAAAGAGCAAAGAAAAAAATGCAAAATGAAGAAAAGAAGAAGCAGCCCAGAAAAGAGCCAATAGAGAAGAAAAAAAGACTCAAAAAAAGGCTGAAATGGAGAAAAAAAAAGAACATTCTTAACATTCACAAAAAAAAAGATAATGCTAGTTAACGTAGATCTTATCAGTTATGTAAATATGATATTACTAATAAAGTTCTGTTTTTGATACTTTAATATGTAAAGTATCAATAATGTAATTAATGCAGTATGTAGATCTTAATACTGCACGGTGTGCCATAATACCCTCAACCTAAAAAACATAGCAATTTTTAGACGATTTTTAAAAGCCCAGTACACCCGGGTTTTTTTAAAATACTTGCTTTTTTTTTTTATCATTAGTTAGATAATTGAATGCTATTTTTATTTATGTAATTTTTGTGAATAAATATAATTTTTTCAAAGTTTTACTATTAGCAATCCTTAGGTGCGCCAGAATACCCATCGCTCCCTTATATAACAAATTATTATTTCTTTATGATCTCTGCACAACCCTGCATAAAATATCCCGAGTCACCGATAGTGATACTGTACTTACTATATCGGTATAGTATATAATAATATACGTAGTGATAGAATTCGAATTAATGCTAAAGTCAAAATAACGCCCAAGTAAAAAAAAATAATCACGTTAACGTTAAATCTATTGTCATTTCATTGTGGTAGTTTAATGAACGTGACATTACGCTATTGTTACTATATGAAGATTTGTCAAGTTTTGATTGGATTTAGTATCTTTAATTAATTGTCTAGCTTTTAAGCCTTCATAAATATAATTTTCTCGTACCAATATACATACTTCTTTTTTTTTTTTTTTAACAAATTTTACGGACACTCTACAACAGAAATCTTATAATGGCTGAACTTCCGATAAGATTTCAGGAGTATTGCCAGGTACGCGAGATATAATTTACACAGCTGTTAGGGTGTAGTGCTACCACTTTTTAGTAATGACAAAAATGCAAATAATGCAAATAACAAGTATTATCTCTTTTATAAATACTTTTATATCGTATTTATTTTATTCATATGTCAATGCTACTAGCTCCAAGACCTGGGTGTCAACCCAGCAAACATAGGGTTCAATTGGTTGACTATGGAGTCAGATCGTTTTATATGTGTGCGTGAAACTGTAGGAGGAGCGAATCAAGTTGTCATAATCGACCTTAATGATCTTCAAAATGTAATGAAACGACCAATTTCTGCTGATTCTGCAATAATGCATCCAACAAGCAAAATTCTCGCTCTAAAAGGTCGGTTCTTTTTTTTTCATTTTTTAATTATAAGTTTTCACTCAATTCAAATTTAATATCATAAATATAGCTCAGAGGCAACTACAGATTTTCAATCTTGATCTAAAATCAAAAGTCAAATCTCATAATATGCATGAGGATGTTGTTTTTTGGAAATGGATAAACGTCAAAACGCTTGGTCTCGTTACAGGAACTGCTGTTTATCATTGGTCTATGGATGGCGATTCTCAGCCAACTAAAGTCTTTGATAGGCACGTAAGCTTACAGAGTGCTCAAATAATTAATTATCGTGTGAATTCGGATGAAAAATGGATGGTACTTGTTGGTATATCAGCCGAGGTTTGTATAAAACTAATTTAAACGATATGCGATTGACTGAATTATTTAGGGTCTTTTCAATTACATAGGATGGAAGGGTTGCCGGTCATATGCAACTGTTTTCTAAGGAACGTCAAGTCAGTCAGCCAATTGAAGGTCATGCTGCTGCATTCGCCACTTTAACGTTAGAAAATGGTGTTTCCCCTACAAGATTGTTTACGTTCGCCGTACGAAATCCATCTGGCGCAAAAGTATGTATTTATGTCATTTACCACCAACATACTTTTCATTAGATCTTAATGACTGGAAGCCACATGTCCTTTGAAAATATATTAATTCTAATTGATGACTTTGATGATTTACTTGCTTTCTTTATTTATTATATAGTTACATATCGTTGAAATCGATCATAAAGATGAAAATCCACAATTTGCTAAAAGGACGGTTGATGTCTTTTTCCCTGCGGAAGCTAGTACTGATTTTCCCGTCGCTATGCAAGTTAGCAAAAAATATAGTATAATCTTTCTTGTCACCAAATTTGGTTATATCCACTTATACGACTTGGAGACTGGTACATGCATCTATATGAACCGAATAAGTGGTGAAACAATTTTTGTAACTGCTGAACATGAAGCAACAAGTGGAATTATTGGTGTCAACCGAAAGGGTCAGGCAAGTAGTGAATGAAATTATTAAGTTTTCTTTATCCAATTATTAACTTATTCCTCTTTATCTTTTCAATTAGGTTCTATCCGTATGCGTAGATGATAATAATATAATTCCTTACATAATGTCGACGCTCAATAATCCTGATCTAGCTGTGAGAGTTGCTACAAGATGCAATTTACCGGGTGCTGAAGAATTGTATGTTAAAAAGTTTATGGAATTATACGCAGCTGGACAGTATAATGAAGCGGCTAAAGTTGCTGCCAATGGACCAAGGGTATGTCCCCCTTTAAAAGTCAATAATCGGGGTTTTTTGAAACAAAAGTTATATTTTGTATATGTTTTTTTTTGTAGGGCGTTCTTCGCACACAACAAACTATTGAGCGGTTTAAAGCAGTTCCTATACAGCCTGGCACATTGTCGCCGATCTTACAATATTTTGGTATTATTTTGGAAAAAGGAGAGCTCAACAAGTATGAATCACTTGAACTTGCGCGACCTGTTTTGGCACAAGGCCGCAAGCAATTACTTGAAAAATGGCTAAAAGAAGACAAGGTATATATTTATTAGGACAAAAACTTATTCTCTGTTTTTGAAATTAATTTCTTTTTTTGTTTGTATCTTCATAGTTGGAATGTAGCGAAGAACTTGGTGATATTGTTCGCCAATACGATCTTACATTGGCTTTATCAGTATATCTTCGTGCCAATGTCCCAAATAAGGTATGTCTCGCAATGGCTTATATTTATTGTGCTAATTTGTTATTATATTATTTTTATTATTATGTTATTATTATGTTATTAAGTTGCATTGTTACTATATACTGTTCAGGTCATTGCATGTTTTGCCGAGACTGGTCAATACTCTAAGATCGTCCTTTACGCGAAAAAAGTCGGGTTTCAACCAGATTATCCTTCTCTTTTGCAAAAAATTATGCGACTTGATCCAGACAAAGGTGGTGAATTCGCTGCTATGTTGGCTACTGATGAGAGCGGACCTTTAGTCGATATCGAACGAGTAAGTTGGTTTATTAAGCATCTTCAGCATAATGAGGGTTAAGCATATCGAGGGAGCGTTGTTAATCGTAATTAACTTTCTTTAAAAGATTGTTGATGTTTTTATGTCACAAAATTTGATTCAACAAGCAACATCATTTTTATTGGATGCTCTAAAAGATAATAAACCAGAACAAGCACATTTACAAACTCGGTTACTTGAAATGAATCTTATGCATGCCCCGCAAGTTGCCGATGCAATTCTTGGCAATGAAATGTTTAGCTATTACGATAAACATTCTATCGCCTCACTTTGCGAAAGGGCTGGGCTACTCCAAAGAGTAAGGACTTCAATCTGTTAAATTTCGCTGCATTAAAGTTGTACATTTAATTTTATTTATTTATCATACTTGCTTTTTTCTTTCAGGCACTAGAACATTACACTGACATCAATGATATTAAACGAGTTATTGTTCATACTCAATCATTAAATAGTGATGTGAGTGTAATTATTGATTATATCGTATATTCTCAACTTATTTAATAATCTTTTGTTTTATACGCCTAGTTTGTCATCAATTACTTTGGCAATTTATCTGTCGACCAATCATTAGATGTGTTGAAAGAAATGCTTAAAGTAAATATTAGGCAGAACTTGCAAATAGTTGTACAAATTGCCACTAAATATTCGGAGCAATTACAACCTTTGAATTTGATTCAATTGTTTGAGTCGTTTAAGACATATGAAGGTACATTGGTTTTCCATTTGATTACATCATTTTGTTATTTTTGTTTCAATTCAACTTGATAAACCCTTAAATTTTTTAGGCCTTTATTACTATCTTGGCTCAATTGTTAATCTTAGTACGGACCCCGATGTTGTTTTTAAATATATTCAGGCCGCTGTGAAGACTAGTCAAATTAAAGAGGTTGAAAGGATCTGTCGAGAAAGCCAGTATTATGATCCAGAAAAAGTGAAAAATTTCCTCAAGGTATGTTCAAATTTTCGCATATAAATATACTTTATTTAAATTTATTATTTATTTAATGTATTTTAATTGATTTTTTTTAGGAAGCTAAACTCGCAGATCAACTTCCATTGATAATTGTGTGTGACCGATTTGACTTTGTTCATGATTTAGTTCTATATTTATATCAGCAGAACATGACAAAATACATAGAAGTTTATGTTCAAAAAGTTAATTCTGCTCGTACTCCTGCTGTAGTTGGTGGTCTTCTCGATGTTGACTGTGATGAAATAGTTATCAAAAATCTTTTATCATCTGTTACTGGTCATGTACCTGTTGATCAACTTGTTCAAGAAGTTGAAAAGCGCAATCGTCTTAAGTTGCTTTTACCATGGCTGGAGCAGCGTGTTAATGAAGGTTCTCAAGATTCAGCTGTTTTTAATGCTTTAGCCAAGATATATATTGATAGTAATAATAATCCTGAAGCCTTTTTAAGAGAGAATACGGTATGTATAGTTTTTATGCTAAATATATTTGATTAAAAAATTCATTTTTTTTTCTCTTATTAATTGGAATTTGCTTATTATTATTAGCTTTACGATTCTTCAGCAATTGGCAAATATTGTGAAAAGCGTGACCCATATCTCGCCTTTATCGCCTATCAACGTGGACAATGTGATCATGAACTTGTCAAAGTTACAAATGAGAATTCCATGTTTAAACATCAAGCTCGTTATTTGATAAAACGTCGTGATCTAACGCTTTGGGCTCATGTCCTGGATCCAAATAATATGTACCGTAGATCCCTTATTGATCAAGTGAATATTTTTAATTCGTTTTTTTTTAAAAAAAAAAAATATATTTTGATATTACTATATTAATTATTATTAATTATTAATTTACTAGGTTAATGCCGTGGCTCTCCCAGAATCTATTGATCCAGAAGATGTTTCTGTTACTGTTAAAGCATTTATGGCTGCTGATTTACCAATTGAATTGATAGAATTATTAGAAAAACTTATTTTAGACAATACTGCCTTCAGTGATAATCGAACTCTTCAAAATCTTTTAATTCTTACAGCTATTAAAGTAAGGCACTCTTGTGTTGGATTGTAATTTTTTTTTTTTTGTATTTTTTAATCATCTCATTATATATTCTTTATATTTTCATATATTGTAGGCCGATAAAGCTAAAGTGATGGATTACATAAATAAGCTTAATAATTTTGATGCTCCAGATGTTGCTGAAATTGCTGTTAAAAATGGACTTTTTGAAGAAGCTTTTACAATATACAAAAAACATGATGAAAATACTAGTGCAATTAATGTATTGATAGAACATATTGGTAGCATTGACCGAGCATCTGAATTTGCAGAAAGTTGTAATAATCCTGAAGTTTGGAGTCGTTTAGCTAAGGCACAAATCGAAGGTTTAAGAATTAAAGATTCAATTGGTAGGTTGTCCATTAATTAATTATTTATCATTAAATTGTTATATTTTTGTCAAACTCATAATTATTAAATTAATACTGTTTTAGATTCATATATTCGTGCTGATGATCCAAATAACTTTAACGAGGTTATAGATATTTCATCACGCGCTGGTAAACATGAAGAACTCGTTAAATATTTGCAAATGTGCCGTAAAAAACTTCGGGAGCCTGTCGTAGATAGTGAGCTGTTGTTCGCATATGCAAAAACCGAAAGATTCAACGACCTTGAAGATTTCCTAAATTCACCTAACGTGGCGCAAATACAAGTAGTTGGAGATCGATGCTATGATGAGGGCTTGTATGCAGCAGCTAAAATATTGTTCCAAAGCATTTCAAATTGGGCTCGATTGGCTTCTACACTTGTGCACCTAGGAGAATACCAAGCTGCTGTTGACGGTGCACGAAAAGCTAGCAGTACAAGGTAATTAATTTTATCTGAATACTTGCATCGTTAATTATTAAATTTTATTACATTTTGATGGTAATATTTATTTTTAGGGTTTGGAAAGATGTTCATGATGCTTGCGTGCAACATAAAGAATTCCGTCTCGCACATATCTGTGGTCTTAGTCTAATTGTTCACGCCGAAGAATTACAAGTACGCTTTAAATGCATCATATAAATACTGATTTAGTACCGATAGGTTACATTAACAAATGGTTTATCATTTATGATTACAGGATATAATTCGCAGATATGAATACAACGGTTACACGGATGAAATCTTATCTCTGCTTGAAGCTGGTCTTGGATTAGAAAGAGCACATATGGGAATGTTTACTGAATTGGCGATCTTATATACTAAATATCGTCCGGAAAAAACAGATGAGCATCTACGACTTTTCTGGTCACGTCTTAATATTTCAAAAGTTATTCGAGCATGTGATGAAGCACATTTATGGAAGGAGATGGTTTTCTTATATGAGAATTATGATGAATTTGATAATGCATCTCTCGCAATGATGAATCATGCAGCAGATGCTTGGGAACATTCTCGTTTTAAGGACATTATTGTTAAAGTCAGCAATGTTGAAATTTATTACAAGGTTGGTTATTTGTTGAGTTAATCTTTTTCTTTTAGCAAGTTATAATTTTTTATTTGATCCGTAGGCGTTAAAATTCTATATGGATGAACATCCTCTCTTGCTCAATGATTTATTGGTTTCTCTTACTCCACGAATTGATCACACTAGAGTTGTTCAAATGTTTCATAAAGCTGATAATTTGCCATTAATAAAATCTTATTTGATATCTGTTCAAGAAGTAAGTATTTTCATTGGTTGTTATATGTTTGTCTTACACAATAATATTAGTTTTAATAAATTTATAAAATTTGATGTAGATAAATAATGAAGCTGTAAACGATGCTTATAATGATATATTAATTGAAGAAGAAGATTATAAATCTTTACGTGATTCTATTGATAGTTTTGATAAATTTGACAACATCAGTCTTGCTAAAAGGCTCGAAAAACACGACCTTCTTGAATTTCGACGTATTGCTGCTCACCTATACAAAAAAAACAAACGCTGGGAACAGTCTATTTCTTTATCTAAAGAAGACCGCCTTTTCAAAGATGCTATTGAAACAGCTAGTGAATCTCGATCAACAGAAATTGTTGAAGAACTTTTGGAATATTTTGTACAGATTGGGAATAAGGAATGTTTTACTGCATGTCTTTATACATGTTATGATCTTGTCCGTCCTGATGTAGTCTTAGAATTGGCTTGGAAACATGGTCTCTCTGATTTCGCTATGCCATATCTAATTCAAGTTATGCGTGAATTCTCTACAAAAGTATGCTTTTAGCCATTTTTATTCAACGATTTATTGATATATTATAAACTATATAATAAAAATTAATCATTATTAAATCGATTTAGATTGATATGTTGGAGAAGGCTAACGATGAAAGAACAAAAGAACAGGAACGCGAAAAGAGTGAAAGTGGTTGGTATAAATTTATATTGACATCCTTAAAAAGCTTTGGAATGTCAAATTTTTATTTTGATGTAATTTTTAAAAGATCGTTCATTTATACTAAATTCGCTGAATTAATTTTTAGAAACCCCTATGATGCCTCCAATTGGATTAGGGAACCAACTTATGATTACGCAAGGATCAGGACAAGGGTAAATTGAACTTTCAATTTCTCAGATGTATGCCTTCAGATAAAACGGCATTAGGAACACAATGTTTGTGTAGATGTATTACTTTTTACTGGATTTTGTAAGTGCTGGGAATTTTTCATTAAAACATAGTGCCCACATCCGTGCCGGAATTTCATTCTAATAATAGTACTAATAGTACTATTCCCAGCATTTTCAGAACTCTACTTTTACTTTTGTATTACATAATATTAATTGTTTTGTGATCCATATGTCGTTATATTTGGAGGCATTGTATAATGGCATAGATAGATTATTCTAACATGCTCTTATCGTGTTCATTACATAGCAACTGGGTTCCGATAACTAATCGAATGTAGGGATGGTAAAGGTGTTTGTTTCCAAATTAAAAACCTAATAACCAGGGTTTTATGTAATAAGTTCCAAGCCTGAGTTAGACTGGTTTGGTCCAAAATTAAAATTTAAAACTTGATTTTAATATTTTGTTTATAAAATATAAAAAAATAAAAATATATTACTTAATTCATCTTAAACTTATATAATTGGTAAATTTTTGTAATTTTACTTGTGATTATATATGATAATTAATTAATAAATTATATAAATTTTTAATATTTTTAGAAATAAAAAAAAAACTTTATAAAAAAGTTTATAAATTAATAAAAAATCAACTAACTTTTTTAATTTATAGTTTACAAATACAAATACATTATATTATAATATCAAACAAATTTAAAAGTTATATTAACCTAATTATTATAATTTAAAGTATTAATTTGAAAAGATGTTGTGATTTAGTAAAGTGGATAAGTTGTTAACTTTTCAAGTAGTAAATTGGAAGTTCAAAACCCACCAATAGTGAAAATTTGAAAAATTATCTATGTTATATCAGTATTATGAGAGGTAAGTAGTATTACAGCAATTGCATTCTGTTGATCAGTTGGGATTAGTGTCTGTAACATAGTTATATCAGCATGACTGACAGGTTATAAAGCATTTGTGCAATGTTGAGGTTATACAGAGAAATGCAAACTGGCATTGAGTAGTGCAAACCCAAGATAAGTTCTTGTAATTGTGTTAATTTATAAATTGAAAAAATCAAAGTTCACTTAGAAAGATCTGAATAAAGAAGTAGTACAGATCTTTGACAGTATTACTGTAAAGGTTAGATCTAGAAAATGAATATTAATGTAAATGAAATCAGATGGGCAAGAACTTTAGATAAAGAGTATCACTAACCAGATCATTAGAAGTTTTGAACTAAAGAAAAAGGACCTTGAGAAGCAAATCCTAAGATATCAAAGACAGGTTATAGTTCTATCAGATTATTTGAATTAAGAGTTTAAGATCAGAAGCAAAAATATACTATAAGTACTAGGAATATGCTATAAAGTTAGTGCTAGGATCTGTATAAATTTTGTAAAGATAAACTCTGTTAATAAGAGATTAAATATGAGTAGTTAGTTAGCAGAAAGGCCTCCTGAAGCTTTATAGTCAAGTAATTTATTTTAAAATGTTTAATGGCTTAACAGATATACAGACAGAAAGGTCATGATTAGGTTAGATGACATTTAGGTATATAGGAACTTGTGCACTATTTGTCAATATAAGTATAGGAATTAGAATATTTAAATAGGTAATCTTCTAGTAGATTGTAAGTATAACAACTAGTGTAGAACCTGCTATGCAAGTGGATTACTTAAAATAAATAACCAAAAGTTATATGTATGACTAGTTATATAATCATCTTGTATAAGTTATATAATCATAATTAAAATATAATAAAGACAATAGCAACCGATAATTACAGCCTTAGTATAAGTAAAAAAAAAAAAAGATATCAATTTAATAATAAAACAAATAAAATATCAAATGTATTAAATACTTAAATCTATACAAAAAAATTAATATCAATCTAATATATACAATATAAAAATATTAAGATCTATTAAACAGTAATAAAAATTTTTTATTAAATAAAATTTATATCTTTTATTTTTTTAGTATATTTTTTTTGCTTTTGCTAAGGCTATTAGTTATCAATACTATTGTCTTTATTGTGATTTAATTATAGTTATATAATTTGTATAAGATAAGTGTACAACTAGTCATATATACAGCTTTTGGCTATCTATTTAAATAGTTTGCTTATATAATTTATACTAGTTGTCATATTTGTAATCTGCTAAGAAATTATCTAATTAAACATTCTGATTTCTATACTATATTTGACAGATAACTTAAATTTTTGTATACTAAAATATTGTCTAATCTAATAGTAACTTTTCTGTTTATATGTTTATTAGATTGTTATATATTTTAAATATATTACTTGATTATAAAGCTTCAAAAGACCTATTTGCTAACTAACTACTCACATTTGATCTTTTTTATTAATAATATTTATTCTTGCAAAATTTATTCAGATTCTAGTACTAACTTTACAGTATATTTTTAGTATTTATAGTATACTTTGCTTTTATTTTCAAACTCTTAATTTAAATATTTAAAAAAACTGTGTCTATCTCTAGTATTCTAAGGTTTTGTATCTTAAAATTTTTTTTTCTAGTTCAAAACTTCTGATAACTTAGTTGGTAGTACTTTTTATCTAAGATTCTTGCCTATTTAATTCTTTTCACATTGATATTTATTTTTTAGGTATAGTTATTATAATGATATTATTAAAGTTCTATATTACTTCTCTGCTCAGGTCTTCTTAAATAAGTTTTGGTTTTTTAGTTCTACAGATTTATATGACCACAAGAACTTATTTTAGGTTTACATTACCTAATACTAGTTTGCATTCTTTTATATAACTTCAATATTGCACAGATGTTATATAATCTGCTAGTTATACTGATGCAACTATAGTTATAGGTATCTTATCTCAACTGATTAACAGAATGTCATTGTTGTAATATCATCTATGAATTACATAAGTGATTATTCAAATTTTTTATTATTAGTAGGTTTTGAACTCACTTGGAAGTTGACAACTTATCCATTTCACTAAGTCATCACATCTTTTTTAGTATATTTTAATTGTCTTTTTCTGATATTTAAAATTTATATCTAAATCGTATAATAATTAATAATAAAAGATTAATATTAACTCTTTTTTTAGAGATGTGGTGACTTAGTGAAGTGGATAAGTTGTCAACCCCCCAAGTGGTAAGTTGTGAGTTCAAAACCCACCGACGGTGAAAATTTGAATAATCACCTATGTAATACATAGATGGTATTATAGTGACGGCATTCTGTCGATCAGTTGGGATAGGATATCTGTAACTATGATTGCATCAGCATGACTGGCAGGTCATGGAGCATCTGTGTAACCTTGGTTACACAAAGGAATGAAAACCGGTACCAGGCGGTGCAAACCTAAAATAAGTCCCTATGGCCGTGTAAATCCATAGAACTAGGAAACCGGAGCCCACTTGAAAAGACCCAAGTAAAGAGATAACACAGATCTTTAACAGCACCACTGTAAAGGCTAGACCTAGGAAACAGATACCAATGTGGAGGAGCTGGATGGGCAAGAACCTCAGGTGAAGGGTACCACCAACCAGACCACCGGAGGAAAAGGATATCGGGCCAGCTCGATATACCAAGAACAGGTCATAGTCCTACCGGGCTATTTGGATTGGGAGTCTGGAAACAAAGCAGAGGTATACTATAAGTACTAGGGCTATGCTGTGAAGTAGGTGCTAGAGTTGGAGTACACTCTACAAGGGCTAGCCTTGTTAATATTCTGTAGAGG